TGTGGTACAAGAACCAGGTTCTTGACCGGTCTTTCAAAAAAGATTTTTCAACTCTCTTTTACCGCTCATGCATTATTTCTTCAGCTTCTATAATCACCATGCGTGTCTACCTGCAACGGTATAGAAGTGAGTTAGGCTTGGCCGGAAAATACTTTAGCTAGATTTACCTGAATGTAACTTTCATAGCTATATGGAAGGGAATCAGGTTCTCAATTAGGCTTGATTAACCCCAGTGCCATCCTGTTTTTCTCAGAATGTTCCCTGCTCAGAGCTTTGGTGAAGATGTCTGCAATTTGTTCTTCTGTACTACAAAACTTCATACAAATAAGCCCCTTCTCCACATTGTCTCTGAGAAAATGATGTCTCACATCAATGTTCTTGGTTCTCTTGTTCTGGACCGGGTTCTTTACCATGTTGAGTGCACTGGTGTTGTCATATAGAAGAGGTACACAGTCAGTGTATACTCCAAAATCCTCCAATTATTGTTTTATCCACAAGAGCCGGGCACAGCAAGAAGCTGGAGCAACATATTCTGCTTCAGCTGTTGAGAGAGCTGCAGAGTTTTGCTTCCTTGTGCCCCATGAAATCAGACAGGATCCTAGGAAGTGAGCCATTCTGGATGTGCTTTTCCTGTCCACTAGATAACCTGCATAATCTGCATCAGCGTACCCAACAAGATTAAAATTGTCACCTGAAGGGTAATACATAACTAGGTCCTGTGTTCCCTTAAGATATCTCAGAATCTTTTTGGCAGCCTTTAGGTGAGATTCCTTGGGGTTTGACTGGAACCTTGCACATAGACCTACACTGAATACAGTATTTGGTCTATTGGTAGTGAAATAGATGAGAGATTCAATAATGCCTCGATACATTGTTTGATTTACAGAAGAGCCAGATTCATCCAAGTCCAGTCGAGTGGCAGTGGCAATGGGAGTGTCGATCACTTTTGATGCTTCCATATCGAACCTCTTCAAAAGCTCCTTGATGTATTTCTGTTGACTGATACAGGTTCCCTTCGTGGACTGCTTCACTTGAATACCCAAGAAAAAGTTCAGCTCCCCCATCATTCTCATCTCAAACTCACCTCTCATGAATTTTGCAAATTTCTCACAAAGAGTCAGTTGTTGCCCCAAAGATAATATCATCAACGTATACCTGAACAATGAGCAGGTTCCTTCCTCGTTTCTTCAGAAACAGAGTGTTGTCAATTTTTTCTCTTGTAAAGCAATTTTTAAGAGAAACTTTCACAACCTTTCATACCAAGCTCAAGGAGCCCGCTTTAAACCATACATTGCCTTGTCCAATTTGAACACATATTCAGGATGTTCAAAACATTCAAAACGTGGAGGTTGCTTAACATAGACTTCTTCTTTGAGAAAACCATTCAGAAATGTACTTTTGACATCCATTTGGAACAAGGTGAATTCCATATGTGGTGCAAAGGCAATGAGAATTCTGATGGCTTCCATACGAGAAACTGGAGCGAAGGTCTCTTCATAATAAATCCCTTCCTCATTATTGTAGCCTTGAACAACTAGCCTTGCCTTGTTCATTGTAGTGTTTCCATGCTTATCAAGCTTGTTTCTGAACACCCACCTGGTCCCTATGATGGTTCTATCTGAGGGTCTAGGTACCAGGTGCCATACTTTGTTCCTTTCAAATTGATGTAGCTCTTCTTGCATAGCTGTGATCTAGTCTGCATCCTTCAAGGCTTCCTTACTATTTTTGGGTTCTATTTGGGAGAGGAAGGCTGAGAAGGCAAGTGAACTTCTTGCTTTTGATCTAGTTTGGACTCCAGAATCAAGGGGTGATTATATTATCGAGAGCATGAGAGCTTTTGTGTTTCCAGTTTGGCACTTGAATATCATTAGTGGAGGAACTAGGTAATCCTGACTGGTTCCCTTGCATTCTTCTTTCTGCTACCTATGGAGTACTTTGAACTGCATCAACCACTCTTTCTTCAGCTTCAGTAGTTGTGATTTGGGTACCTGGTTCCTCTTGAGTTGGAGTGGAGGAGGTTGTGTTGCCTTCATTTGTCTCCTTCACTTGACTCATCATATCTGCCTTTCCATTTGCCATATCAATGATTTCCCTTGGAACCAGCAGTGGCTCACTGTCTTGATCATCCTTGTTGCTCTTCTCACCAGATGAAGGGGACTCATTAAAGATTACATGAACATTTTCTTCCACACACTGAGTCCTTTTATTGTAAACTTTGTAAGCTTTGCTTTGAGAAGAATACCCCAGAAAAATTCCTTCATCGCTTTTGGCATCAAAATTTTCAAGCTGATCCTTTCCATGGTTGAGAACATAGCACTTGCACCCCGAACGTTCTTAAGTGAGTTAGCTTGGGCTTCCTTCCATTTAGCAGCTCATAGGGAGTTTTGTTCAAGAAAGATCTGATCATGCACTTGTTCACCAAGTAGCAGGCAGTATTTATGGCTTCTGCCCAGAAATATTTGGCTATCCCACTATCAATAAGCATTGTTCTGGCCATATCTTCAAGGGTTATGTTCTTCCTTTCTACAACTCCATTTTGTTGTGGAGTTCTTGGAGCTGAGAAGTTGTAGGTGATGCCATTTTCACTGTAGAGTTCATCAAACTTGGCATTGTCAAATTCTGTTCCATGATCGGATCTGATACAAGCCACTTTTGATTCCATCTTCACTTGAATTTTCTTCACAGAGGCTACAAATACTTCGAAGGTCTCATCCTTTGTTCTGAGAAACAACGTCCAAGTGAATCTTGAGTAGTCATCCACTATCACAAAAGTGTATCTTTTTCCTCCCCTGCTTGGCACTCTCATAGGGCCACATAGATCCATATGAAGTAGTTCAAGTGGCTTTGATGTGCTAACATCCTTCTTTGGCTTGAATGAAGATTTCACATGCTTCCCTCTAGCACATGCATCACATACTTTGTGCTCTTTGAACTTTGAATTTGGCAAGCCACGAACCAGATCCTTCTGTATTAGCTTGTTCAGAAGAGAGAAGCTTGCATGTCCTAGCCTTCTGTGCCACAACTCGGCATCATCATCAACAACTTTCAGGCAGCTCATGCCACCACTTTGTAGGGACTCGAAATCAGCAACGTAGATGTTCTTGTATCTTTTGGCCACAAGTACCACTTCACCAGTTACCAGATTAGTAACTGTGCATATCTTTGACAAAAACTCCACTTTATTTTCCTTATCACAAATTTGAGAAACACTCAAGAGACTGTACTTCAAACCATTGACATAATACACGTTCTCGATTGAGTGTTAGAGAGACATTCCCATTTTTCCAACACCAAGAATGTACCCCTTTTCCCTATTTCCAAAGTATACATTCCCTCCTTGCAGGGCTTTCACTGTAAGAAAGTCTATGGTATTCCCAGTCATGTGCTTAGAGCATCCACTGTCCATGATCCATTGTTGACTGCTTCCTCTCACTGTTCCCTGCATAAGGAATTCAAGGGTTAGATTTAGGAACCCAAACAAGTTTGGGTCCCTTGTAATGAGAAAAGGGATGAATGAGAGCTCTTCTAGTCCATGCAGGCAACATGCGTTTTTTGTGAGTGGCACCTGGTCCTCTTCTAGTAGTTACTTTTTCAGCAAAAACTTTGTTTTTCTGAACAGACTGGACTCTGGCTTGGCAATTTTCCTTGAAATTCCCATTGTTCCCACAGTGGGTACAAAGTCAGTTATCAGGTACAGTGACGTACTTGCTATGAGGGTTATAGGGAACTTTCTCCCTTTGGAACCTTATTCACTGCCTGTTTCCACCATTGTTAAAATACATGGCAGTAATAGCTTTTGAGGACCAGGTCCACTTAAGAGATTTCTCAAGATCATTTTTTACTTTTTCCAATTCTGCTTGAAGCTGCCTATTTTTCTCAAGCTCAGCACATAAATTAGTTTTCACAATATTCAGCTCATTTTTAAGTTTAATATGTGCCTCACTAAAAATTTCCTTTCCTTTTTCAGAATTTTCAGGCCTAAAGTCTGCTTTAAGTTCCTCAATTGTTTCCTCTAGGTCTGCAATCACCACTAGGAGATCATCTATTTCTTGCTCAGTGATAGCAACTTTCTCCACTAAGGCATTGTTTTCTTTACTAAGGTTCTCAATGGTTTCTTTTAAGTCAACTACAACTACCATCAAATCATCCATTTCATGTTCTACTTTAGCAATTTTTTCTATTAGAACCTCCTTTTCATTTTTCAGATTTTCTATGGTTTCCTTCAGGTCAACTACACAAACAACCAAGTCATCTCTAGTCTGCTTAGCATCTCCTAACTCTATGGTTAAGGCATCCTTATCACTCACTAGACTATGATATGCATCAATCAATACATTAGCTAATAACATGAGTTTTTTAGGAGAATAGGATTTCAGATTTCTCTGAACATCCCTAAAATTTACCTCATCATTGTCATCATCTTCATCATCGTCTGACTAATCCATCAAGGCGAATATTGAATCATATTCATTTGCTTCACTTTCAAATGCCAACATGGAGCTATCACCTGTATCATTTTCTTTTTCAGACTCACTAGAGGAGTCTCCCCATGCTGCAAGAGCTTGCTTCACAACATTGTCAGCTGCGTTTGTTCTTTTGAAGTGTTTGTCAGGAACCGGGTTCCTCTTGGCTGCTTTATGAGAGTTGTGCTTGAAATGTTCTTGCTTCAGAAGAGGACAGTACTTGATGAAATACCCTGACTTTCCATACTTATGACAGAGGTCATAATTCTTTGGTTTGCTGGAACTACCTCTCTTTGGTATACCTCCATTCCTTCGAACCATTTTCTGAAACCTTCTGGTAAGGTATACCATATCGCTATCCTCCTCACTCGAATCATTGTTTTCAACTTTGAGTACCAGGTTCTTCTCCTTCTTTGGTTTTCTTCTTTCACTGTCCTTCTATCTCTTCATCTCATAGGTCTTCAAATTTCCAACCAGCTCATCCATAGTCAGTGTTTGCAGATCCTTGGCTTCAGTAATAGTATCCACCTTACTCTCCTAGGGGCTGGGTAAAACTCTAAGAACTTTCCTCACGAGCTTGTTCCTATGAATGATTTCTCCAAGAGAGTGTAGCTCATTTATAATGGAAGTGAATCGGGTATGCATGTCTTGAATGGATTCATTATCCTTCATTTTAAAGAGCTCATACTCAGTGGTGAGCATGTCGATCTTGGACTGCTTTACTTGAGTGGTTCCCTCATGTGCCGTTTGTAGAGCTTCCCATTTCTCCTTGGCGGATTGACAGGCTGAGATCCTATTATATTTATCATGTCCTATGCCACACACCAAAATCTTTTTGGCGCGAAAATTCTTTTCTACAGCTTTTCTGTCGGCATCATTGTACTCTTTCCTGGTTTTTGGCACCATTATAGTAGGTTCTCCTACCTTCTTTGTTGGGACGTATGGACCATCACAAATAATATCCAATAACTCGGAGTCTTCTGCCATTATGAAGTCATGCATTCAAGTTTTCACCAGCCATAGTATTGGCCGTTGAATCTCGGGGGCCTGTAGGTTGATTGTCCTTCCTCGAAGTTTGGTGGAGCAGCCATGGTGAGTATCCTCTCTAGGTGTTAACCTTTTAGAAAGAACTGGCTCTGATACCAATTGATAGAATGTATGAGTCCACCAAACTGTATAGAGACCTGGTCCTATACCAGTTCCCACAGAAATAACTAATGAACCAGTAAGTAAATGACACAAGAGATTTTACGTGGAAAATTCCCTGCTCAAGGGGATAAAAAACCACGACCTACACCTGTAGGATTTCAACTTCACTACTTGAGCAATCTTTAGATTACAACCTATTGTAACCTAGGAATTAAACTCTTAATCCCTCACTGATTTGTGATACACCTATTACAAGCCACTTTGCAATACACCTATTACAAAGACTTCAACTCATGACTAATTCTAGTCACGACACAAACTCTAAGGGTTTATGATTTTTGGAGGTTCCTAGTTAAAGCTTATAAATAAGCAAAGTAGGAATTACAATGAAAATCTAATACAAAGATACAACTCAACTAAGGACATACAAAAGACTTGTTGTAGGAACTGATCCGTAGTAGTGTTGTACTTTGTTCTTGATGCACTTGTGACTTCAATGCTTGATTATCAGATCTTGAGCGCTTGAGTTATTTCACAAGTGTTAAATGATGTTTTGTTATAATGCTTCTTGTTAATATCCTTTGGATGATGTAAACACTTGGTTGGTAAAAAGCCCTTCCCAATGAGAAGTGACTGCTGCACTGTTTCTGCACTGTAGCATGTACAGGGCAGGCAATCACTTTCCAACTATAGAGTTGACTTGGAAAACTCAAAGGGATCAGGTCCCTGAGTTGATTCTTTTCTGTCTGAAGTCATACATCACACATTAGCTTGAGTCTGTTGATAGAGATATATACCAAGCGTACATCAGATCCTTTATCTGGTTCTTAACAATAAGTTTGTTAGAGTATCAAAACATAAATTTAAGATACTTTAAACCCATCACATAGGTCGACCGATTCATATAGCGAACTCAAATTTGTTTAAGATTGAGACTTATTTATTGTTGTTTTTTTTTGAGTGGATTGGTTGTTGGGGCTGTGGGGGNAAGTCCTTGCAATATGTTAGTACCCTTTTTTTCCAAATTTTTGTGGGGTCAGAATCATAAATAGCAAGCGAAAGGGTCTTTAATACTGGAACCTTTCACCAAATTAAGTTATGTAGGATCAAGATATTATCTTAATTGATTGATAAGTTGTGAATAATTAAATGTAAGTAATTATATTCACCACTTAAAACAATAAAACTACGTGACATAACCATTAATATAACATACAGGCACTAGCATGCTATAAGATTTTTGTAAATCTCTGATCTCATACAGTGATATTTCTTTTCAAATAACTTTTTGACTTCAAAATATTTGTATTTAAATAACTATTTCAATAGAGCCAGAGGTCCATTTTTGCCAATATATATGAAGTCCAAAATTTATTCGGAGGGTTTAGGATTTATGCATCTACCATCTTTCTCACTTAAGGCGCTATAATTACGTAGCTATTTGTGTAATTGAGAGATACCTACCTCTTTGTCAACAATTTACAAATTACAAAGTACTAATAATGAAGAGATCATTTCCTAGTATGAACTCTGGCAATATATTGAAACTATAGAGCCTGAGCTATAAGGCCAGCTCAGTGCATAACTTTCAACACGTAAGTGTAGTAGTAGGTTGATATAGAAGAGAAATAAATGAGGTTAGGGGGGCAAAAGTAATCACGTGAGAAGTAAGAGGGGGAGAAAAAACATAAAATCCAAAACAAAATCTAAGGAAGATCCCAAAGTCACTTAACATATTGGCCAAAGAAGAAACAGTGGTTGGATTTTATGGATTTTTATGATGGCTATATCTCACAATTATTTCTGCTTTTAGGACCTTTGCTATTCCCTCCCTCTCTAATGGATCCAGCTGTTTTAATGTCTCTGACTATATCTGTAATCTGTCCTTTACACTGTTCCTCTTCTGGCCCCAAACCCCCCCTAGCCCACTATTAATCTCACAACAAAGTACAATTAGAAAGAATGTCTTTTTACCCTTAAATATAGTTTTCAAATTTGAATCTAAATAAAACAAGATCCTTATAGGAAGCATTTTGCTCTTAAATTAGGTTTTACACTGTGTGAATATGAATTAGTCGGAGTTCTCAAATCTAGTACCAAACACCCCCCGAAACACCAAAAAAAGACAAGCCTTCTTTGTTAAATGTTATGGTGTTGCTTCTTCTATCTTAATTTACGTGAAAGAATTCGAAGTACGAAATTAAAATATCTAATTTTTATTGTGAATTCTTCAAGCTTTAAAATTTTAAATTTATGTATTTAAGAAATTAACTAAAAAATACTATAAGTTCAATCTATTTTAAAAAGTTTGAAAAAACAATAGTCAGAGACAAAATGATTTGATTCCCTAAATCATTTTCCATGTAAAATGGAATAGAAAGAGTAATTAGTTTCCAAAGACAAGAAAGTTGACATTAATGTAACATCAGAGTATAATGAACATTAGTCTTGAATGTACAAAACAGGATAATTCACTAGGGAAACATAGTACATAATCTAGATTTGATTCAATTAACTCAACAATGTGGCCCAAGTAAGTGCACATAATAATTGCTATAATGAAGCATATTATTGAAAGGACAATGTTAATAACAAATGATAACTTAACGGCAACATCCACAAATAAGAAGAATTGTTCATTTGTAGCCTATTATAGGGTTTAGTATAGTAGTTGTTGTAGCCCTTTCCTTGTCTCTCAGGTCTTAAACTTTCATCTGATATGTCACCGTCTATGCTGAATTGTATAGTCACTATCACCTTATATTCTCTCTCTCTCTATATATATATATATATATGCTGCAGAAGAATCCATTAGTCTTTACCTTATAAGTTATAAAAACCAAACAAGTTTTAAAAAATCATTACACAAACAAGATAAATCGGGCGTATGCAGTTTGGACATCGGGTTTATATGAACTCAGTATTTTTTATGCAATATATAAATTTAAGTAAAAAAATTCACTAAAATTACAAGAAATAATAGATATGAACACATATTCTTAAAAATATACTCCCTTCGTTTCAAAAAGATTGACACTATTACTATTTGGAAAGTCTACAAGGTTATTTTTTGATCACGTTTTTCTTAAGCATTTTATAAATATTTTGAATTATGAATTATTATGACTTATAATACTTTTTATGTAGTTTCTGAAAATGTACATTTTATTTTCAAAAACTTGAAGAATCTATGTCTAAATTCACAGTCAAAGTTAAGTATTTTGTCCTTCGTACTTCGAACTATGTCAATCTTTTTGAAACAGAAGGAATAATAGATTTGAACCCATAAAACTTAAATTATGAATCCACCCCTTTAAGATAAACATTGATTAAAATCAAATACAAATCAGACCTCAAAAGAAAGAAAGAAAATTCAGACTAGTGGAAATCCAATAGGTAATAGACAATACCTTTCGAAAGTTCAAAAAAATATCCACTTAGATACAAAATGTGCCTTTAATGTTTATGCTGATGCAATGGTCTGAAATTCCCCTTTAATAATTCACTATACTTTGTTTTGTAACTAAAACCAACTTTCACTATAAAAGGAAGGAAGACTATAAGGTTTCTTTTTCCACAATGGTGTAAGATGGATTTTAAGGGCAAACATGTACCAATGCCTTGCCACTTTCACCTCATTAATTCCTTTGCTAAAAACTCCATCCCTTTTCCCCTCTTAGCTACTAGTCTAGTACCCACTAGATTACAGCTACACAGAGTACTTTGATTTTACCTTCACTAGCTTTTATTTTGGATATTTCCACTTCCAAATTATTAAATATCTTTTCAAATATTTATCCATTTAAGATATAAATCTTGATATTTTCCTTAAAGTTTGAATTTGCTTTCTTAGCAAATTTTATAAGTAATTGTTATATTGGTACTTAGTTTCATTTGGAAAAAAGTTGGTATTACTAATTAATTAAATAATACATTGTTATTGCTCTTCTTAGTAATCAGAAATAATTTAAAATTTTGGATAAAGTAAGCTTATTCTTGTAGTGCTGACTAATGTAAAACACATGCAGATAACTAAATAGACAATCTCAAGTTAATCATATAAAGTCAAAGTGCAAGGTCAACCATTGTAGAGCAAATGATCTTCAATTGTCAATTTCAATGCAAAAGGGTTTGATTCTAAGTAGGAATTATTTCGATTTTATGAAACTTGAGCATTTGAGTTTCTCGATAAATCTGAAATTACGAGAAGTTTGACTTCAGACACCATTAGACATTGATATAATGTGATGATGATGACTTATTAACACCAAACGAAGACATGACTGACCAGAAAATCAATCAGAAATTCAGAAAAAAGGAAAAGTAAGATTAAAAGAAGCAAATTTAAAAATAAATAAAAAAGGAAAAAAAGAAAACAGAACTCAGTCAAACAAAGATTGATCTGACAGCACCAATAATAAGAGGAAGAGAAGGCAAATTTCAAACTGGCAAAGGCAGTGAGTGGTGGCATTTCTTGGCTGCCCAAAAATCCATCTGATGGAAACCTATATCAACCTTACTTTGCGCCCATCTCAACTATTTCAATTAATTTTGTATTTATTTATTTTTAATAATAATAAAGAACCAGTTTCCATTTGTTTCAACTAAGTTTAATCATATATTAGTGTCGGATAATTTTAGCCTCCAAGACTAAAGTAAATGTGAAAAAATCATGTCTAGATGCCACACATCAACCTTCAACTGACGGCTAATTGACAATGTAATAACAGCTTTCTTGGCCTATATATATATATATATATATATATATATATACACTATGCTCAACTCACTATTCATATACTGCTTGGCCGGCCTACCTACATTCCCTTCCCATTAAC